TTGTGGTTTCAGTAGTGGTAAAATGTGGTGCCAATTGCCCAGGAGTAATATGGATTTTGTATTGAGAATGTAAAAAAAATAGGATAAGTAAAGAGGCAATATCAAAATGGAAAGCAAAAAATGAAACTTACATTTGATATAATAATTAAGACCTTAAATATTGAGAAACCTAAAAAAAAAATAGATTAGCATTTTAAAATGTAATCTTATAAAAGGCAGCAGTTTTTTGTAAAAAATTTCGTCTATAGTTTTGAATTAACAACAAAATTATTAATAAAAAGTTACTTAAATAAAAAACATCAAAATAAAAATAAAATTCTGTTTTCTGTATTATTACATAAGATTTGTCAATTTCGATAATAGATTCATATACTCTATTCTAGTTACTATATTTTTTTAACATTATGGAAAACTTTTTAGATATTAAAGAGATCGAAGAGATCAAAGAGATCAAAGAAATCAAAGAGATCGAAGAAATAGAAGGGATCGAAGTGATCGAAGTGATCGAAGGGACCGATAAGAGATCTTGTAGTAGTTGTAATCAGCCTCGCCTACTTCAATCCTTTTTAAAAAATAACAAGCTAGGTAAAACCTGTTCAAAATGCAGAAAAAAAAAATAATCAGTATGCTCAAAAACGTGAAGCAGCAGATGCAAAAATTAGCTGTATTTCAATGGAAGATTTTTTTATTTTGGAAACCATGAAACATCAAAATATAGAAAACTTTAAACAAACTATTAGTATTCATGAATATGCCCCAATTGATCCAAAAGAGATTGCATCACATATTGTAGATAATATTCTTAAAACGCTAAAATTTAAATTTAAGTAAGATATTATAAAAAATATAATGTATATTAAATTACTTAATAAATAAATACTAATCCTTTTAAAGCTACAAAGACAGGATCCCGCTAAAGACAAATCATCTTACAGCTTATAGATACCACTGCGCACAATTGCTTGACCGACAGAAAGATCCTAAGAAACATGAAGATCCTACAAAGTATAGAGATCATTTGCCGATGCAAAGATTTCATTGCGGGGGTTGGCTAACAATCACTATTAATACTAAAAAAAATCAAGTTAATATTAAATTAACTCACGAATATCATACTGAATATATTGATGTGTGTATTACAAATGAAATAAAAGAATATATTCAAAATAATATTCAGCAAACTCCTCGAATGTTATGGGAAAATATCTGTGCAAAAAATATAAATATTACTGAAAAACAAATATATCGTTGGTGGATGAATTTTAGTCAGTATATTTGGAAAAAATATGAAGACCAAATATACTTAGCTATTAAAATTATATCAGCGTATAAGGATATTGAAATAATGATGCATAGAGTTGATAATGAAGTTACTTTAATTTGTTTTGGGATTACAGAGATAATCCATCGTCTAAGAGTAAATGCAGCCGAAATTGGTGTAGATGCAACATGTAAGCATTTCTATAATTAAAATTAATTTTTTAAAAAAATAAATTAAAATAAATAAATAAATAAATAAATAAATATTAATTTCAATAATTTAGACAATACCAACAAAATGAATCTCGAAATGTATTTAGTACTTGCTGAGATAGATGGAACAGGAATCCCCCTAGCTTATATGCTATTAACCACAACAACTGCACTTAATAATGGAATTCACACAAAAATAATAACTTACTTTTTTAATCAATTACAAATTAAAGGTATTAATCCAAATTTTGTAATGACAGATAAAGATTTATCACAAATATTAGCAATAAAGACAGTATGGCCAAAGGCTCAAATTCAGCTTTGTTTTTGGCATTTGAAATGAGCAATAAAGAGACAACTAGCATTGTCCCAAAAGCCAAAAACAATTCAGTATTCTCCATACAAAGCAAATGCTGAATTTTCATTCATCGATCTTGACTTTCATCCAAATATTAACTTGCAGCAACCTGAAATAGAAGAGTCAAAATCACAAGGCAAAAAGATAGTATTTACCTTTTGCTCCCCAGAATGCCGTAATAATATCCTTGATCTTGTTACTAAACATTTTAATCAACATCCTCTTATTCCTGCATATGATAGGCAATATTATTCTGCAGACCAAATTTACGAAGCTGCTGTTCGAGAAATTTATACATATTGTAAAGATAATAATCTTCAATGGACATGGTCATATTTATGGGTTGAGTGGTATTGTTCGTCCAAATGGCCTTATTGGGCACGTAGTGCAAAAAAAGAAATTTCAGTGTTAAAAACTACTATAATTGTAGAATCGCACTGGAGGCTAATAAAGCACGATTACCTATATAGATTTAATAAACCTTGTGTTGATCTACTTATATGGATTCTTGCAGAATGACTTATCCCACGGTATATTGTTAAAATGGAGCAACTAGAATTAAATTATAAAGCAAGAAATGTGGCATCGTGACGTACAGCTTTCAAACATACCTGGAAAGCAATTTTAAAAAAAAGCATTAAGTAATAGTTCTTATGCAACCAATTCAAACACCTGGACTTGCTCATGTGCTACTTATCTTAATAACCATTTTCTTCTTTGTAAGCACTTAGTGCAATCTGTCCGCCCACAAAAGCCAAGTTTTTTTAATGAGGTTAAACGTTACAGATCTCCACCTTTTTGGAGGCATGAAGATTTAGTCCCATTGGTGCAAGGTTTAAATCCAATAAATGAATTCGACAAAGAAGATGAACCAATAGAAGAAAATAAGTTTAGTGAATTGGAGGAACAAGCAGAGAATGATGATGAACAATCAAATGATGAAACTGACGATGAGCTTATAGAAGTGCTTCAAGAATATGAGGAAGATGAGGCCAATATTAGTGATATTGTTGCTGAACGATGGGATGAAGTTAATAGTCGTGTTACAGAAAAACTCCAAAAGTAGAATAATCTGCTAAAAAGTCAAGATCAATATAAAGATACGCGATTTTTATTGGTGGCAGAAGAAGCAATGGTCGGAATAGAGAAAATGCTAATGAAATGTGAAAGAATAAAAAATAGAAAGACCTTACCATGAACATGGAAAGATTACGATAAGCAAACGATGTTTTATAGACCTAATGATATATTTTGAAAAGAAGTATATTAGGCTTAATGGATTAATTATTATTCAAATTAAATTTACTTAGCTTAAAATATATACTTGAGTTTTCTTACTAACAGTATAAGTCATACGTAGTTAAAGGTTTTTAAAAGCAGAATTTGTAGGCTAGCTCGAAGTATATTTTTCTTTTGTCAGTACTTATATATTCGAATTGTTCTGTTTTGTGAGTTCGCAATTAAATCTCTTTAATACTATAATAAGAGAACGATATATAGCAGGTATAGAACGATATTAGCGTTAGCGTTAGATTATCAATAAACTTTTGATGCAATACGATTACTGCAGTATTGTTACACAAAATCCATGATGATCATCACGTGCGGGGAAAAATCATGGGGGCGAGGTGTATAAGTTATATTTTGGATAAAAAGAATAATCAATATTATCGTCAATAACATTTTAAATAAATAAATAAGCGAGTGTTCATAATATTTACATCTGGTTAGATTTCGGTGCTAAAACCAATAGTATCGCTTAACCCCGTGGCATTATTATGTTTTAAAGTTTTTTAAAACATTGATCAAAAAATACCGATATCTATTTGACCGATCTTTTATTTAATTCTGCTATTCTGTAGAATTAAATAAAAAAAAAAAAACAAATCGAAATTGGTTAGGTGGGTGCCAAGATATCTTCGATCAAAGGTTTAAAAAAATATTTGCCGCAGTTTCTATTTGACGTATAAACTTTTCCAAAACTGATCAATATTTTTTGGCACCCACCTAACCAATTTTATAAAAATCTTTTGCTTAACTCTGCTGTTCTATAGAACTAGAATAAAAAAAAAATTTTAATGAATTTGGATGCTGAGTAATCTTCAATTAAATTTAGAATATATTTTTATCTTAGGCTAATTTTCTTTTTTGCCACAGCTAAAGTACAGTATTATGCATGCATATACAGTAAAATCTCGTAATAGACACATTCGAATTAGTCACAATCTCGCTATAATAACCTTAATTTTTTGTTCTTATAATATTATATATATTAAATATTTACCCGTATTAGTCACAATCTTACAATAAGCACATAAATTATCTGATTTTGGCATGTGACTATTGCGAGATTTTACATACAAAGAGCTTTGGAATAATGTCTATAAAATTAAAAAGGTCTTATTGACAAGCCAAATCAGACGCACATTCTAATCGCTCGGTTTCTGCAAATCCGTTCCTAGAACGTACAGTAAATGTATAACGATAGTATCAAATGCTAGGAATAACAGGAGGGAACGTACCCATCCAAAGTGAATCCAACATATGGTGCGATCAATAAAAACTAAAATTATTTATATTAGTTTTAATTGATCACACCATTCGCTTTGGATCGGGTACGTACGTTCCCTCCTGTTGCTAGAATGGTAATCGGTGTTTATAAATACTTAAATTAGGCATTTCATTATACGTATACGTATTGATATTTTCATTGATAATTAATTTAGGTACAGTAAATGATCATACGATGATGCATGTGAATGTGAAAAGGCATCCAATCAAAAGCACGGATTGTACAGAACCCATAAACAAAAATTTCGCTAAACAATTTCATAGATAAATTAGAGTTAGCTTTTGCTACTAGGTTAGATTAGAAGAAAACCAAAATTTCATTGATCTTGGAAAATAATTAGTCAGCGAAATGACTTGACTAATGGTGCAGACATTTGTAATTTGACCACACAATACGGTATATTTGATGTATTAGTAGTCATATAAATGCCGTGTACCGTATAAATGTTGCTTACCGTATTAATACTGTATGCCGTCATTTACCTTAATGTAGTGGGTGAGTATAAAGATAAGAAGGTAAAAATCTATAAGTATTATATGATGCCATGCATTTAGAGAGGTCTTTTATAGACTATGCATTTAGAGAATATGCGTTTAGGGAAGTCTGACTGATATGTTTACAAACATTTATTTACTATTAACTAAGTTCCATAATATTCGGTCAGTGAGTATTAATAAATTTTTGATGACATAATAATATATATAATTGACAATGATTAGAATTGCAACCTAAATACGGAAAAAGTGTGCATTATAATAAAGACAACACGTTTAAAGTACGGCGTCTGACATGTAATCCCGATAAATAAAAGTAAGAATATTAATAATTACATCAGAGAATTTCAGCCTAGAATCATGGGAATGTGATTGATCGGATTTCATTCAATAAATTATTGCACGGATCTTATGTGACAACCCGTGCTTTTTTCATTTACTTATTGGCACGGGATTGCTACGTCAGACACCGTGCAATAAGATAGTTATTGTATGGGT